GCTTCACTCTATTATGATGCAATATTCTCTAACAAATTCATTAACATCTTTGAATTTTTCAGCTCTAAAACAACCTATTGCCTGAATCTTTGCAATCTGAATGCCCATTGATTTATACACAGCATAGAAAGACAGTAACATAGATTATGACCAGACATAATATACAATACAAAAGTGTGCTTTTTCTTGTTGAGAGAAGGGAAGAAAACATGTAGTAAATAAACACATCTGTGAACAAATTGCAATACAATCTGCACATTATTGATTGTTATGTCTAAATACAGTAGTTATGTGAACTGTTAGGACTTTAATGCATACACATAGTTTTCAATGACATAAATCTGAATTTGCTTATCTTATGCACATCCTACTTTCGGCAGCAAATTAAATTACCCTTCTTATTCATTTATATGTTTCAAGGTTTTTGGACCAGTGCAAACTTTATTCAACTTTCTCATTTTTGAAAAACCTTGCTTAATAAATTATAATATGTAATTATGACTTCAAGTGAGTATAGATCAGACCCTTGAAGATCCTGCTGAAATTTCATTTTCTTATTTTTTTCTGAGAAGCAACTTTACTTTGAACACATCTGTATTTTTGAACTGCTGCAAATCAATATGGTAAAACTATTAAACTGTGTAAAAACAAGTTGCAGGACAAAAAGAGTCCATCAATTAGTTTTGCCACTATGACAATGCTGCAAGATAAAGCTCTAAACTTACTATAGAAAGTACTACTATTATTTCATTTCTCATTAGCTTAAATCCCAGAAGTTCATAGGTACAACTATCTCAGTTAAGTAAATGGGAGAAAACAAAGAATGCCCTTACACCTCTTTTTTTCTTCCATCAACACACAAACACCTTTTAGATTTCTGCTGGCAGTGCAATTGCAAGAGAAATAATATTCCCACTGTTGTTCAGCTCAGCAGAAAAGTGTCTTTATTATTAGAACAAAAATGATAAGGAAATACAGATGCTTTCATACTCTTCCCCTGCGACAACATAATTTACCCTTTACCCTGCCATTCTGTGTGTGAATACTCCAGGCCCATGTATTTTAAGAATAATTATTCTTGAGGAATCTTGTCTTGATTCAGTTAGCATCCAAAACATTTGGTCAAATATCCTGCTATGCAACTTCTTTCTTGTAAATAAATATAGAAATTAAGTAATCAAATACATACTAATTTTATCAGAAGTAATGAATGAACATGTTTTCCCCCAGCTTTGTCAAGGTTTTGATATAGAGTAATATATACATCAAAGGAATATATTTAGTGGCATATAGTGGCTTGGTAGAGCTTCTCATGTTAAATATGTTTAAGGTTACTACACAGAACATTGATTACATTGTTTTTTTTTTTAACAGATTAACAACATCAAATGTTTTGCTTTTTGTTTAATTTTACAACCTTACAAAGAAAACAAAGTTATCTAATAAAATCCCTAAATGTCTGGTATCATCTCAACACAGTGTTTCTTTTCAGTTTTTGCCCAAAATAATTGTATAGTCCTTTATAAACAAAATACCAAGGATAGAAAGATATTCTATATTACAACGGAATTGTTTAGCATTTCTAGTTTTTTTTTTATTATAGAAGTTCCATTATAGATGATCCATTTATTAAACAGAGAATTATTTAATCCTTACTTTTATTTATTACTTCATTTAAAAATGTATCTAACTTATTTATAATCCTTAATTTTAATTTAATGAGTTCAGATCTTGGTTTCATATGGTTTCCATTCCACTTCTGACTGCACCTCTTAAATTGAGCTCTGTGACGTTTGTGTTAACAAGCACAGACAATGAAACCCACCACATTTGCTTTTGCTCTGTTTGTGCCATTGAAAGTCATGATTGTGGTGCTTGTGTTCCTGAGATATTGTGACTATGTTTTTTTGAGGATGTGACATCACTCAGCCCCCCTACAATGATAGGAAAATCAAAGCACTTTCTTTGTGCTATGTTTGTTCTGGTTTGAAATTAGCATCAGTGCTGCTTTCATTTTCGAGATATAGCACATACTCTTTTGGGGTGTCACTACAATGGCCCAAGAGAATCAAATTTTTTTTGTGATACATTTGTGCTGGTTTGTGCCATTGAAAGTAGCATCAGTGCTGATTTTGTTAATGAGATATATAACATTCTTTTTTTCAGTTTATGACATCACTGAGTTCCCCTACAATGGTGCTTGTGGTACTGTATGTATGTGCTGGTTTGTAACATTAAAAGATAAGATCATTTAATTGGCCATATACAATTTCTTGTATTAGGAATTTGTCTGATTTTGGTCCCAACAGATAGAGCATTCTTTTTCTACAATACTGTCTCGAAGGAACTTTATAAATAATTAAAAAAAGAGGACAAGGATCTGATTCTGGGAATTCACTTCCCACAGTTTAGCTTAACATTAATAATACACACTGAATAATTAAGGTACTTAATATAATAAACTAAATAATTAATATGTGGAAGCTTAGTACTGTTTTGCTGCTCACAAATTATTATAACAAAAGATTGACATTGAAAGGGAATAGCTTTATTTTAACTGATGACAATTCCTGTAAATTACTTTCTCAATCTGTTAAGGAGGAGAGATGGATGGATGTTTGCCCATTATGTCTTCCGGCATATAGGGCAGCAACATCCTGTTGTTGTTTCTATAACATTCTTTTTTTATGGGACAGGGCTGTTAGACTTGTGCCCAACCTCCAACATAGGATCTGGTGTCTGACATGGGACACAAACCCATTACCCTCAGATTATTATTCGTATGCTCTACCAAATGAGCTAGGCAGGCCGAAGAGAGGAGGGCGATCTTTTCTATTTGAATAAAAGTAGATTTTATATATATATATTGCCTGTGTGTGCTTGTGTGAACAGTAAAATTAAATCTCTTGCCATTTTACACTTGAAAAAGGAACATTAGGAAGCAATTGCAGTTTCTTAAAAAAAGATTTAACTAGCATGTCATAGTATTTTGTAGCTCTGTCAATACTTTTAGAAAGAACTGTGTATTCAAAAGGGTTAGAATGAGCAATTTCTTAGATTAAAAACTCTTCTTCTGATTGTATTCTATGTATTGTATTATTAATATTGTATCATTCGTTACACTGTGTCTGTGTTGTCTGTGTTAAGCTGCTGTTGCACTGCAATTTCCCTCACGGGATCAATAAAGTATCTATCTAAAAAATCTGTGTTTTACTATATTTCTATGCAATGCTAATACATAAACACGGAAAAGTACCAGGATATTGGATTAAATGTTTTGTTTGTGGAACTATGCACTGAATTGACTATGCTTAATCTTAAATCAGCAGAACAACATTGCAGACACTACCGTGTCGCAAATAAATGACAAGGATGATTGGTAATTAACATGCTTTCCTACCACAGTAGGCACTGTAAAGTGTGGTAAAGTAATGGCAAAAAATCTAAATGCAAAAAAAAAACAACAACAAACTACATGACATTTTTTGAATATTTCATATGATTTACCTGTAAATCATAATAACTATTTTTTAGCATTTGTTCCTAAGTGCTGCATTTGAAGTGCACATTAGAAAGTAGCTGGGGTGACACATTGGCGCAGTGGTTAGCAATGCAGCTCTTATAACTGGGGCCATGAGTTACATTCCCGACCTGAGGTGCTAATCTGTGTGGAGTTGATATGTTTTCCTCATGTTTGTGTGTGTTTCCTCTAGGTACAATGGAAAATTGGCCCTGGTGTGTGTGTGTGTGTGTGTGTGTGTGTGTGTGTGTGTGTGTGTGTGTGTGTTTGTGTGTGTGTGTGGTGTGTGCTCTATGTCTATGCCTGCATGTGCCCCATGATGGACTGGTTTACTGTCCAAGGTGAATGCTGCCTTGTTCCCGTTGCTTGATGACATAGGATATGTCATCCCCATGAATCTGAATAATATGAAGCACCTAGAAAATGGATGAATGGATTATAAAGTAGTTATACAGTATGTAGATCAAAACTGAAACAATACAATGATATATACATTTCCAATAACCACCTATTGCAACACTAAATACAAACTTTTTGTCCAAATGCTTTAGATTTAAAATGAAATTGTGGGGCTGTTGAAATATTCAATGTAAAGATCAAAAGTGGTGTCACAATGAAATCCACTTCAGGGCTCCAGACTGCGACTGAAATGGAGTCAAATGCGACAAAAAATAGGAATTTACAACAATAATTTAAAATGTAGTCACCATTATCGACAGACACCAAATCTTTGTTATTTTGTGCCGATATGTGGTCAAATTTCATCTGATGTTACTTAATTATATCTTTAGAGTGCTCGCTTTTACAGTCATTCATCACAGCACACGGCAGTGACTGTTGGTTATGAGGAATGAAGCTAAGAAGCTTCACACTAGAACACATGCTACTGAAAACGTTCCACAGGCTAGCTGATCTGCTAAGAATGGCAAAGTCTAAAATTACAGACTTTTTAACATCCTTCAACAGGTCTAAATGGCATTTCAGAACTTTGTGGCTTCAGGAATTTGCTTGGCTTAGGGATGATAAAGTTAAACAAAGGATGCACTGTGACTTGAGTTCTAAAGCCGGTAGGACATTGCATGGAAAATTGAGTTTTTCAATGGGACAAATAATTTAAAAAAGGAAATGGTAAAAAAACAAACTTCTGACTCTGAGCATATTGACTGAAGCTCGTGATTGTGTAATTGCAAAGTTTGCCCCAAGTCAGACACCTTTAGCCCTGGCTGTGTCTCACGTCTGTGGAAAAAAAGCTGAGAAAGACTTAAAAGCTGAAAATAAAATTTAATTCAGCCTATATGATCGCACGTGAGGAATTACCGTTCACAAAAGACATATGATAACGACACCAAATGTGCTGAGTTTATTGGGTGCATTGCAGACTAACTATTTTGATTCTGTAATTTGGTGACTAAAACAAAATAATGAAATGTTAAATGTTTCATTTTAGGATTCATTTTTGATTTATTTTTTTAAATGAATCAAATTAATTATTTCTCTGGGATGAAAGCAGGACAGATGTTTCTTTTAATGTACAGAGTGGCGCAAGTGTAACACAAGCAAATGAGACCGATTCAGTTATCCTGTGCTGTTGGAGGGGGCTGAGTGATGTCATATCTCCAAAAAAGAATGTGCTTGATCTAAAAAATGTAAGCAACACAGACTCTACTTTCAATGGTACAAACAAGCAAAAACGCCTGGCAAACAAATAAGACAGATTTGGTTCTACTGTAGGATTATAGGAGGTAAGTGATATCACACCCACAAAAAAATAATATGCTACTTTCAATAGCATACACACAACAAACATATCACCAATGAAAGACACTGGTCTGATTCTCCTTCTACTTAATGGATGAGCTGAGTGATGTCATATTCCTGAAAGAATAAGACGCTACATCACAGGAACAAAAGCAACACAAATGTTACTTTCAACATAAACCAGCACAAATGGAGCACAAACTAATGTGGTTGGTTTCACTGTTTGTGCTGTTTGCAGTTATTTACTGTTAGCTGTCAGCTGGAGTTATATAGCTCCTTTATATAACTAAGTATTTGAAAAATCTGTCACATCAAATGTAGATTTTGTCTTGAGCTTTTTCCATTTGTAAAGAACCTGTAAAATGTGTACTTTAGAAATGGAATATGCTCATCCCTTCAATCTAAATGGTTTGGCTATTCAAACACAGTACAATATCAGGAGTGAATGTTAAAAAATGTTTTTGCAAGCTAAACAATAATTTAAAATTAACAGTAAGTGACTATATAGATATTCAATAAATAAGAATTAAAAATAAGAAATATTTGCATTTAACCTCACATTGAAGGCTTATATTCATAATTGACATCAGTACATGATAAATGATTAAACTTCAAATTTGAATAAAAACTGGTTGTAAAATTAAAGTAAATAGTTAAGACATTAATTACGACCATAGAAAATACTAATGTGTTCTGCAAATTCGATGGGGTTTCTTTGAAGGTCCCACTAAACACCTGATAGATTAATATTTGAGGCCTTTTTCTGCTATATTACAGAAACAGATATGCCTTAGATGTACATACTCCATCATAAACTCAGATATGTTTTGGCAGATATTACAGCATTATGCATCCATAAGAAGGTTTAGAGATTGTAGAGGAAAAGTATTTAAAATTATTATGTATTTTAAAAATTATGTCACAAAGCAACAAGTTGTAAGTAACTGTACTGTATAGTCTAGGATATGGGTCTTATTTTTTCACATATGGAAATCTATGATGCCCTTTTATAAGCATAGACTTGGTAACAGAATAATTGACAAATTATGTTAAACAGAACATTACATAATCATAAAAAGCAGAATTTCAAGCACACTGCACAAATTAAAGGAGATAAAATTAAGTTGTTTTATGTAGGTTATTCTGGAGGAATATATGTATATATTTCTTACGTTAATGGTGTTCTTGATGTTTTTAGATCATGTTAATTATACATTTTATTGGTTTAGGGAAAAGGGTGGTAATTATTAAACATCATGACATTCCCCCATTGTATATCATAGTGTTTTAACAGGTCAAGGCATACCTGCAATACAGTAGCTAGCATCTATTCATTAAACCAATATCCTTTTTTGCTTAGTGTGTGAAAATAAGTAAAACACCTACACACTTAATTGTACCTTTTTAAAATTGAAAGTTTCTTCCTGATAGTGCTTACTGTTTTACAGATTGTCTCCTGATTTTGACCAAATGCTTTGAATGTGTTGTGTTTGTATGGAATGTATGTGGTGGTAAATAAGGCAGTGTCAGCTTGGATTAAATTCAGATATAACTTTCATTACTTAAACACAGTCCAGAATTATATTTTTTTAAGCCTTTATACAAATTTTATGAATTGCCCGTGAAAATAGTTCTGTTTTTTTTCTGCATGAGGAAACACAAATATCTTTAAACCCCACAAGCGATGTGAAACCTCAAAGTAATATGGATTCATGAGATTTAAAATAATTCTCTGTCATTGTATGTATTGCATCTAGGTGTACTTTAATACATTTTTCCTTTGAGCAGAAAAAAGTTGATTAAATTTTTGCTCAATGCTTTGATTTCAGTCCTGCAATTTTCACTCACAAACAAGATATAGAAAGCTTTACTGTTGTGTGCTGTCATATCCCTATGGCAGATGATTGCACTTTAACTTCAAAATGTTTCATAATAGCTCCACAGTCTATTAAATCTTTGAAATTTCTTCAACTTTCGCCAGCTGTCCATCCCCACTCAAACCTTACATACACACCCTATGTTTCTTTCTCCCCTTAAGCTATAAGCAGAATTCTAATTGTAAATGAATGGGGGTGCACATTCTGCATGTCCAATTGGTGAATGCTGTGGTGAAAAGTTAATGTATATAAAGAGTCCATATATGTGTATGTATATTTATATACACACATCTGTATATATTTCACAGGGCCATTTGTTTAATCTTGGACAGGTATGTAAACTGGAAAATACAAATGTGTACTAAAAATATAGCAGTGGTCAGATGAAGTATTCTTTCCTACTGTCATGGACTGAATTGTGGAGGTCCAGATCATTTCGAAAAGTAGGTTCCAAACTATGATGGTGCCCCTTTTCCTTCACAACAGCAGTTTGCTCACCTCTTCTATGTTGATAGAGGACACGAGTCATTATTGCCACAATGCAGAGTGTGATGAATATCACCAGAGCAATGACACCTGTTCCAGGGTGAAAAGGAGTGGTTTTAGAGACATTAACCTTACGTATAATTGACGTTATATGAATGGAAAAAATATAACTGGATTTGTAGTTATTTCTATGTTAATTAAATTAAAGTAACACAATATAGATACTGTACCCAATGTTGCTCAATACATAAAACACACAATTTCATGTTTGTTTAATTGTTTTAATGCTACAAAGCATAAACCACAATGGGCAGTAACAGATCTGATACCTCCTGATGGATATTTGTCTAGGTTAATTGCTTGTTTAGTACCTGGGGATGGCAGCACCAATGAAAGCAGTGTACTTAAGGCTAGTCAAGTGTCTAGTTAAAAGATCTTCACTGCACCATCAAGTGAACATGAAACATTAAGAAATACAATTCACAGGACCATAGATTTTCCATCAATGTTTCTTGTACAGCCATCCATTTTCTTACTGCTTCATCAAATTCAGGGTCAGTGGGAAACTGGAGCCCATCCCAGCATTAAACCGGTATAAGACAAGATACTCCTTGTAAATGAACCCAGGGTCCCAGAGCTGCAAGGTAGCAATGCTAACTACTGTGCCACTGTGCCTCACTTTAACTTACTAAAACTTACTAACTTACTAAATAACTTATTAAAAAAGTAAGTCTAACTTTTCATTTATGTTTAGTTGCTAGAATAATAATTATTCATTTAATTAACATATATTTAATAATTGAAACCATTTTAAGCATTCAATCAAACAAAAAACAATATAATTAGGCCACTGTACATTTTTTAGAAGGATCAGTTTTTTAAATGTCTGGGGGAAGTTCATCTGTGAATGGTGTTAGCTGATTGAACATTCATGGACTTAGTGATCTAGCTTGGTGATATCCTCTGCAGCACAAGACACAAGCATGGAACCAGCATGCTTTAGACTAGAAAAAGTGAGGTGACTGATTAACAATAAACCATATATGCAGAGAAGTGCACACTGCACAGGGGCAGCATCCCCAGAACTTGTTGTGTCCAACTTCTTCCAGGCTTTAATGTAGACAAATCTGGACACTACCACCTGAAGGAGTGACAAGCCACAGGGAACTCAGGACCTGCTTCCCCCCATTAAAATACAGCCAGTGATAGTGGAGTATTCAATTTTTAGACAGTTTAGGAATAGACTTTATTGTGTGCTCCTATGGTGAGTTATAGAGTTATAGAATGATAGAGCAGTGGTTTGCAACAGGGATTCATTTGGGATTATCTATTCCATAATCAAAATTATTGTTCAAGTAAGAATCCAAGTAAGAGCAACAAGAACTATTACTGATCTCAGAGGTTTTATATGCTGTGTGACACCATTAAGGGAAACAAAGGAAATCTATTCAGCCTGGAACTAAGGCAAATGTGAAGACATTTGTTTCAAGTACAGTATATGAGGTCCTAAGGAAGATAGGTAAACCCAGAAAAGTTTTTCCCAATTAGTAATGAAACAAGAACACATTGTTTCCAACACATTTGGAAACTTAAAATGTATTAATGTAGGATGCAGTATAGAAAGATTCTTTAGACAAAGAATTACAGTTTGTTATTGGCTTTTTCAATAAAAGCAAACCCTGGATCACCAGCGACCTGAAGGCTCTTCTGAATGACAAGAAGAGAGCCTTTAGGAGGGGGGATAAGGAAGAGGTCAAGCGTGTACAGAGGGAACTAAAGCAGAAGTTAAGAGAGAGCAAGGACGCCTACAGGAGGAAGATAGAGGACAAGCTGCAAAGAAATAGGGTGAGAGATGTATGGAGCAGAATGAGAGAGATCACTAGTTTCAAACAGGCTGGGGGTGCAACGGAGGGGAACCTGGAGATGGCCAACAAGTTGAACAAGTTTTTTAACAGGTTTGATTCAGGGCCCTCTGTGGTTCAACACCCATCCCCCCACAGCCACACGTTCCCTAACCCTTCACAGCTGCGACTGCCCAACACCTCCTCCATCCCCCCACAATCATGGCCGACTACAGCTACGACCCCCAACAGCTACTCATCCCCCCATCCCCCACAGCTGCCATTCTCCAACACCTCCACCATTAACACCTGCAGCATTGACAGCGCTATGAGCACCATCCCCCAGGCCAGGCTGACCATCACAGCTGACCAGGTGAAGAAGGAGCTGAAGAGGCTGCACCAGTGTAAGGCCACAGGACCAGACAACTTCTGTCCCAGAGTTCTGAGGGCCTGTGCTGATCAGCTGAGCGGAGTGCTCCAGCAACTGTTCAACCTGAGCCTGCGCTTCGAGAAAGTTCCTGTGCTCTAGAAGACATCATGCCTGGTCCCAGTACCAAAGAAAGGGCACCCCTCTATCCTCAATGACTACAGACCAGTTGCACTGACTTCACACGTCATGAAGACACTGGAGAGGCTGGTCTTGTCCCACCTGAGACCCCTGGTCAGTTCATCACTAGAAACCCTACAGTTTGCCTACCAGCCCAATGTTGGTGTGGAGGATGCGATCATCTACATGCTGCAAAGGGCCTACTCACACCTGGACAGGGCTGGAAACACCGTAAGGATCATGTTTTTCGACTTCTCCAGTGCCTTCAATACCATCCAGCCCTTACTTCTAAGGAGGAAGCTGGAGGAGATGCAAGTCGATGCCTCTATGACCTCGTGGATCACTGACTACCTGACAGGCAGACCACAGTCTGTGAGACTTCAGAACTGTGTGTCTGAGCAGGTATTGAGTAACACAGGGGCTCCTCAGGGGATGGTTCTTTCTCCATTCCTCTTCACCCTCTATACTTCAGACTTTAAGTACAACTCAAAGTCATGCCACCTGCAGAAGTTCTCAGATGACTCTGCAATTGTGGGATGTATCAAGGGTGGGCAGGAGGAGGAGTACAAAGGACTGGTCAGCAGCTTTGTGGAGTGGTGTGGGGAGAACTACTTGGAACTGAATGTAACAAAGATAAAGGAACTGGTGGTAGATTTCAGGAGGAAAAAGGTCAACCCTACTCCTGTCTATATCCATGGGAGTGGCATGGAGATGGTGGACTCGTACAAGTACCTGGGAGAACACTTTGACGATAGACTGGAATAGTCTAAGAACATCATGGCCATCTATAAGAAGGGACAGAGCCGACTTTACTTCTTGAGGAGGCTCAGGCCCTTCAATGTATGTAGTAAGATGCTACATATGTTCTATCAGTCGGTGGTAGCGAGCACCATTTTCTACGCAGTGGTATGCTGGGGCCCTGGGATTAGAGCAGAGGATTCTAAAAGGCCGAACAAGCTCATCAGGAGAGCAAGCTCTGTCATTGGATCTGACCTGGACCCCTTGGGTGAGTGGCTGAGAGGAGAATGGTGTCCAAACTAGAGGCCATCATGGACAACGTCTCCCATCCCCTCTATGACAGGCTTGTAGAAATGAAGAGCACGTTCAGCAATAGAATGATTCATCCACGGTGCGACAGGGAGCGCTACAGGAGGTCATTCTTACCTTCTGCAATAAGACTGTACAATGTATCCACCTTGCTTCTGGGCAGAGGCAACATTGACAGTGACCTGTTTCTGGACTGAACAGTAAACTGCTACATCTTTTCTTTTTCTTTTCCCGTTTACAACCGTTTTTATGCAATATATGTCAGGGACCCGTGCAATACATTTATATTTATATCTATATTTACATCTATATTTATATTCATATGTACAATACGATTTTTCTGCATACTGTTCTGTTCTAGTGTGTTCCTTGTGTGTCCTGGACTCTTTTAGTGCACCCCTCACTGTACTGATTGTATTGTATGTATTGTATTATTATTATAATTATTGTATCATTCGTTACACTGTGGCTGTGTTGTCTGTGTTAAGCTGCTGTTGCACTGCAATTTCCCTCACGGGATCAATAAAGTATCTATCTAACACTGCCCAACAAGGTTATTGACACCCAAACTCTGGATACCTTTTATGTAATGAGTGGAAGAAAAATGGAACAGCCTGGTCTTCTTTGCAACCTTTCTTATGTTCCTATTTTCTAACAAAAGAAATGTTAGTCTTTATTTCTCTAACATGAGCTTTTATTATGTATGATTAGTACTTATTTCAGTATTTATTTATTTTTTTACATGAGATAAATTTAGGCCTGCCTTTAGTTGTTTTGTGGCTTTTCCCCACAAAATGAATACTTAACACAGATGGCACTTATTTCTATTCCCAGATCTTGTATAACTTAGAATTAATTCCTGCAGTTAAATGATAATAATCACTATAATGTTTTATATTATATTTAATAATGATGCTAAAAATATACTCAGAAGGCAACATAACATAACATTGCAAACATTGGATATAGTAAAGAAAAATGACTACCAGTTGTATTTCAAACTATTTTCAAGTTATTATAGACAGTTTACAGTTCACACTTTGTTTTCTCAGTTTCCCTTTTTTGTGTTGCTTGGGTCTGTGAAGATACTGTATATGGCAAAAGGATGTGATCACTGTGGTGTGCTCTCAGTGCGTGAGTTCTGGTGCTGTGGGCATGTAGCACTCACAGAGGAGAGAAAATTAACCGTTGGGCAGACTAAACTTTGATGAATGGTTCCTGTAGCTAGTGTATCTGTTGTACATACTCTATACATACAAAACTCATTGCAGTGGCATAATGACAATGAATAAATCTTCACAGGCCAGAGAAGAAAACGTGGCACTTGTGAGTGTTAGATGTTAATGAAGAAATTAGCTTAATTTAATCTGTTGCCCTACTTCTTTAAATCCACTTAATATGGAATCCTGTAACTTATGGAAAATTGTGATAGCTGAAAATAAAAATACGTTTCTGATCTTCATTCATATCATTCATATGGATTTATTAATTTAAATATTTTATATTAATATAGGTGGTAGTGTACACAAGTTTCTTCATAAAAATCAAATTATGTAACTCGGTCACTTGTGGTTATTTTGGAAAACTTTTGACATACTTGTGTTAAGTATATTTTGATGTTATTGTTGTAATGGAAAATGTAATGCTTGTCGCTT